TTGAAAATTATATAAATAAAATTTTTATATTTAAAAAATATATTTTTTTTAATTTAATTATGTTTATCTGTAATTATTATATGAAATTTTAATAAGTTGTATTTATACACAATTTATGTATAATCTTAAATTTTAAGTAATATGCACAGGCCCGTTTCTGACATTTTTTAGGCCCTGAACGAACATAAAAACAGGGCCCCCACTGCAAGAAACAAGGCTTTTAGCAACGACTTTTGTTGTCGCTAAAAGTCCGTTTATCATTAGAAATAGTATATAACAACAACATGTCATCCCTATAACTTATGAAACATGTTATCGCTAAAAGGCGCATCGTCAAAACTCACTTTTCTTGTAGTGACCTTCAGTAATAAATGTTTTTCATTAGTATAAAATTGAGTACAAGAAATGTTAATAATTTACTGAGTAAAAAAATCTTATTTATCTATATTATAGATATATAAGAGAGTACTTAAATTTACGTACTTCTTATTATGTAATTTCAAACCAAGAGTATAGAAACTATGGTTGATAAATTTTTATAAAAAGTATGAAAATTTTACTTTATAACAAGAAATATATGTTATTTTGATACAAAAAGAGATTTCGTGTTAATGAAATAATCATAAGGTCAATGAGAGATCAATAATAAAGAAGATTATCAAAGTTTTTTAGACAAGTAGACAAATGAAGATTAATAAGAATATGAAAGAAAAGATGATCCATTGAGATCTAGTAAAAATAAATAATGAATTAAACATATAATATGCAAGTTCAACAAATGATTGTTTGAGCACTTAAATAGAATCTTGTGGTGTGGTGGAATCCCAATGAAATATACATAAGTCAAACAATTGATGAAAATATTTAAATTCTATTTTTCTTTTTTTTTTGCTCAACTAAAATAAAATGTTAATATTAAAAGTTTATGGAACATGACATATATAAGAGACATTACTAAATACATCTAGTAGAAAAAACTTATTGATTAATCACAAAACCATGAAACACGTCATAAATCATAAGAACAATATATTAATTGTAAAAATAAAATAAAATATTTTATGTAGAAACAAAAATAAATAACAATAGTCAACAAAAATAATTAGAACAACATAACCAATAGTCAATAAAAATAGAAATTGATAAAAATATCTAACAAAAATATATAGCAATAACAAGCACATGATCTTAACGTTGAATTGTTAAAGCATGAAAATAGTCAAGCATATAGAGATAGCAATAGCCAATATCATTGGACCTTGTTGGAGATAAAAAAAATTATTGGGACAATAAACAATAACATATAATGAATGATCAATTTATTTTTTTTATTTTCTTCTCCAATGTAATTAGTTGATATATTTTTGGTCCCTTATTATCTACTAAATTATTTTTGTCTCTTATTATATGCTACAATTTTTTGGTTTCTTTAATTTATTAAATTATTTTAGACTACTATATACTTTAAGGGAAAAATTTGGGTCCCTTATATTTTTGGGCTTTGGGCGTCCACCCGTGCCGCCCTCCCCCAGGGACGGCCCTGAATATGCATTAATAAGTAATATTTTATACAAATAGTTTTCAATTTTTTTTATCAAACACTTTATAATATAGTATAAATAATATACATTCTTTTTTAAGAGATCCGTTCCATAATTTATATACATCGATAGGGATGTAATTTACTCAAAAGAAAAAGAACAAAAACACGCCATAGCTGGGACACGGAAGTTCACCTTTACCCCCGGAATTAAGTGGAAGAAGGCTTCTTTTTACTAATCTACCCTCCTCACTCATCGTGCGTCCTTCCCTATCGCTCCTCCATGCTCACAGACTGCCTCCATCGCACCCTTCATCAATCGGCGACGGCGACGGGACGGCCCTAACCTTCTCCTTCTCCATCTCGACGGCGACGGGACGGCCCTAACCTTCTCCTTCATCTCGACGAGTTCTACAGGTAGACGATTGCCCTAACCTTCTCCTTCTTCATCTCGACGAGTTCTACAGGTAGATGATTGCCCTAACCTTCTCCTTCTCCATCTCGACGGAGACGGGAGTTCTAGTCCATACACACAGTCCGCCTCCATCGCTATACCTTCTCCTTCATCAGGTACACGATTGCCCTAACCTTCTCCTTCTCCATCGCTATGTTTGAATCGATTTAGGGTTTGCTAGGTTTGAATCGATTTAGGGTTTGCTTTGCTTGAATCGGCTGTTTAATCAAGCAATCCCAAACCAAGAAAAATCAGCAACATGCAAATTAGTAACTTATCCCTTTCATTGTTTTTGTTTTTTTTAACTATGCCCTTCTGTGGGTGGGTGAGTTTGAATCTGGTTGTAATGCTCTAGCAATTCAAATTGGGGATTGTTTGTAGTGTATATGGACAACTGATCAAGATTATATTCTGCAGTAAAATGATGTTTTGTTTTTTAATTCATAAACTGAATCTGCAGATTATATTCTTGCCATATTCTTACCAAATGAATGTGAGTTTTTAATTAAGATTGATTTTGGTGAAAATACACTAAACAGCTCACTAAGGGTAAATTGGTCATTTTAACCGGTTCTGTCCTGTCCTGACTTACCAAACGCTGTCCTGTCCTGTCTGCTGCTTACCAAACGCACCCTATCGGCTGCATCCCTCAAACTCTCCCAACTCAGCCTTTTCACGATCGGACACCACCACCGTCTCCATCTCTCTCGGCCACCGCCAACATTAATAATAACTCTCTCAGCCATCTCTCGGTTTCCCTTTGCTCTCGATCGCCTACTCCCTCTCTCTTAGCAAACCCTAGTCGTCCTCGTCAGGTATCTCTCTTTCAATTCTTTTTTCTGTCAAATGCTGCTATTTCCAGTTATTGTGTTTTACTTTGAGATTTGTCTTCTTATATTGTTTCATCTAAGAGGGGAGCTGCTTTCGAGACTTGTTTGTGTGTTTTAGGGCTGGCCCTTGATATAGGCCGTGGGGCCGACGAATTACCGTTTCAATTTTTATCCCTTGGACTTCAATCACATGCCCTATCACGAATTTAGATTCACGCTATTGTCTCTCTCACTCTCTGCCTAGACTTCTAGTATGTTCCATCTTCTGTTTCTTGTTTGCTTTTTGTATGAACACCAAGTGTGAAGATTTAATTGACGTCAATGTTATAGAAAGTTTGATGAACACCGGCGATGTCGATTTCTTTGACTGGGCCTTCGATTTCTTTGATGGGTTTTGTTGGTTTTCAGTGAGCACCTGAGGTTCGATTTAATACCCCAATGTGTAATATACTGGGCCTTCGATTTCTATGATGGGTTTTGTAGCTTTGCCTTTGGGACTTTTTGTAGGAACATAAAATCTTAAGGGGTTAAGTTAAATTCTCCCCGTCTATTTTTGCTGTTGGTCTTGTCTATGTTGGTGGCTGGAAGTCACCGTAGACCAGGGAGAAGGTATCAGTTTTGTAGAGTTGTAATGCAATTTCAATGTTTAGGCCATAAAATGCATTGTCATCACTTGATAGGGTTTTCAGTTGAGAAAACCTACGTGAAACCATGAGAATATTGAATCCGAAGCTTTAACCGGTATTTGGCATGAATGAGAATGACTAATGTTAATGTTTTATTGAGGATTGCTTATTAGCAGCATCCACTAGAGGAACTAATTTCACCATTTCAAGACTAAGAAACCAAGTACTAACATCATGATATATCGTTGGAAGTTGGAACTAAAACATAGAGATGATAGAAGGTTTTCATCTCAATGTTTTAAATAGGCACTGTGTGTTCAAATTATTCACTCAAACTTAGTATGGCAGTTGACGAAATTCAAGAACAATTGGAATTATATTTGAATATGTTTAATTGTTTTTAGTGGGGGAATTGCCTGATCCAAATCCTTACGCCATAGAAAAGAAATAAAAGTAGAAACAACGAGCTATTGGACTGTACTTTCTGCTGCAACTGTCAATGATTTTGGCTGGATTTCATGTTATGGAACTTTTATGGAATTTAGGTCATCACACAATGGGAGATATATGGATTTAAGATCAACATTCATATATGTCCTTTATCCTGATAAGAATGGTACACATATTGACACTAAACTCACCTTACTATGGGTATGTTTTTCTTAATTTCCCTTCTTTGTTCCTATGACCTTTCGATGATTACTTTGGATTTTGAGAAAAATCAACTAGCTTTTAAAAGTAACATATAAGTCTTTTGAGTTGGTTCTTAAATTTTCCAGAACCTCTTTGGTACCTACTGTGTGCTATATTCATTTATGGTCTTCATCTGAAAAAGAATGTCACACACACACTAAACTCATATTTATGTGTGTCTTTTCTTTTTAGGGATGAGTTCCTGGGTTGACTAGGTTCCAGAACCCTTAAAATAAGTACGTTTTGTTGTTGCTTTTATGTATGTAGTGTGTCTGTGTGTATATATATTGGGGGCAATTTTTTTGGTTTTACACCCAGAGCATCAAAAATCTCAGGACCTGTCCAGGTTTTACTTCTTGGTTTTACTAGAAAGTTGGGATCCTAGATATTTTGCTTTTAAAAGGCTAAAAACATCTAATGAACTTGCTTTTAAAGATATATTTTCTCTTTTAGTTGGGTTAGTTGATTTTGAGGAGTATGGCTACTATAAGATCTAGAATAGATGGGGTTTCTGATTTTGCCATTGATCTTCTACTGTAAACTCGCTTTCCAAGTACCAATGCTGATCTTTTATATATCCAATTATTGCTTGGTATTGAGTAGTCATTTGCATCAATTAATTATCTGTCATCAAAAATTTAAATAGTTCTAGAGTCCCTGAAGTGAACGTAAGTCAAATCTGTGAACATGATATTTATCTCTGTATTTAAGGTACCAATGTAAAGGCTGCACATGTAGATGCACTTGTCATAATTAGCAATTGGGTATCAAAAGACTTCACATTATTCATGCATAAGTGAGCATGTACATGAATGCACTTTTTCTTCTCTTTCTTACATTTTTTTGTTGTTCTTTCAACTTTCCTGCTGAAATGTTCATTTCTATGTCCAGAAAAGAATTTCATGATTTTCCATTTTCGGTGTTGTCCAAATGGCTTTATGACGAACACACCTACATACTGTAGTTCCAATTTATCCCAAATGCTACTCGAACATTTAAAATGCTCAAATTTGAGGAGACTACCCAGAGTCATATCCTGGCTCTGCCCCTGCATCTGATACATTGTGCATTGCGTGTTTACTTTTCTGCCAATCAGGAGTTATTTTCAGAGTGTTGGTACCTGCCTTTGTCACCATTAAATTAATTGATTCTGTTCGAGTTTTCTTAGACAGGGAAAAACCGAATTTGCATAGAATTGATTTTATCTTCTTCAATTGTGTTAGTTGAGATACGTAAAAGCCCTCCTGTTCACTTTATTCAAAATCCAAGTTCTTTTGTCTTTGGTTCATAACTCTTGTTGTAGTTCTTCACTTCATTGAAGAATTTTGGTAAATTTTTGTGACAGTTCATCTTTATGCGTCTATCCTAATAGACCTAAAAATCATTGTTGGCTATATGTTTGAATCATTTTCACCATGCTCATATTGCCTTCTCTTTTTGGGAGACCAATTAGGTAGATAAATTTTTAGTCCTTATGATGCACAGATATATGCCTGTAACCATCTCGACTTATCATGCTACATTGCATTTTAAGTGTGTACTGTTGACAGTTGATAGTTGTATGTTTTTAATATTTTTTAGAGAATTAAGAGATGGATCTGGAGACGGAAAATAGAATTGCTGCGATTCTGATGAAAGAGGCAGCAGAATTGCGGCGACAAGCTGCAAGAGATGGAGTGGATGCATATCTTCGGCCTAACGTAAGGGGTCGGCCAAATTCACGTTTCCTCACTGCAACTGTTCTTGGTGTACAACAGTGTAAGTTATTTTGCCGCCATGGATCATTTGTTTTGTCATGTTCTTTTGATTTTTTTGACTTTGCATCATGGTTCTAGATAACTGGTTATGGCGTGTTATGGCTTCAAGGCTTGGGTTGGCCGCCACGTTAACCCCCGTGGCAACACTCTAAGGCTTGACTTGCATTGTAGCGCGTTATGGCGGGTTACTACACGTTATTATGTAAAGTGTGGGGTTACTTTAATATATAACTTGAGGGATAAATGATAATAATGTATGAGACCTAGGACTTAAATGAACATAAAAAGGGAACTTAAAAACTAAAACCTTAAATAGGTATATACTTGCTCACATTCCCGTACATGAAAAGTTGAACACGAATTCTTTGAGAATTGAAAAAAATAGTGAGTATATAGATTCAAGAGATTAATCTTTATTTTGCACTCTTGATATCATTTTCTATAAGTATCGATGGTTCTTCTTTCTTTTGTTAGTTTTATTACTTTATATGAATATAATTTGTTCTACAGTATTATTAAAAACACTAATGAATACAAGTGTGGGTGGGTGGGTGTTTGTCTCTATATATATAAGATGCAGTCAATACACCCAAAACCACACCTGTAACCAAAGTTAATTTGCGAGGTAGCATCCTGAATTTAACTGGGGTTCGCGGTGGTGGAGGGACTGAATCGGAAAAAAGAGGGATTTTAGTTGTAAGATATCTAATGAAACCGTTGCTGGAATTGATATATTTACCGACGCACAAAGAAACTAATACTGTTGCGAATGAACATATATATGAATATATATATATATATATATATATATGCCGCCTTAGGGCACTTCTTGAAAAACGCCGTGGCCTTTCCTTACCTCATAAGGCTTGAGGCTTGATCTTGCCGCCACGCCTCACAGAATCTTGCTTTGCATAAAGATGTCAAATGGATTTGGCTTTGCAGTGCTTGATTGAAAAGAACTAATTATCTACATGTGAAGTTGGGCAAATGCTGTGAATCTTCCCTCATTTAATGAGGTTTCATATACAACATATATTTAACATGTGGAAACATTTTGGATCCTCTAGCTCATATTATCTTTGTTTTTTTTTCAATTTTCATCAACACTTATCTGGCTTAAAATAGTCTATGGCATACTTGTCACCCATGATTTTGGGATTGTCGAGCCATCTTAATTGAGCTGTTAACCAAGTAAAAAATGAATTCATCGACAAATATATGCATGCTAACATTATTATATAAGCCTTGGCAACACTTTTGTTTATGGTTTTTGTGTTTACTTTTAAAGAAAGTGAAAACTTGAGAAATACAAAGTTTGATAAACGTTTACATTTTCATAAAGCTCAAGATCATTTTACTAGTGTTTCAAAACGACAATTATAAATTGCAAACTTGATTATGATGTTTCTTTACATAATTGGTTTACAAAGATACACACATTGACTATTTAATTTTAACTTGATTGAGTTGTAAAACTCGGTAGAACATAGTGAGGATTGGGACTTAACCGGCTCTAAACCAAAACTGAACCGGTTTCAAACCAGTTTATATTGGTTCGGTTGTGTGGTTCATACTATTTTATATTTCGGTTTGTTTCTGGTTCAGTCTGGTTCCATTCCAGCCCAATGCCCCCCTAGTTTATATACTCTCCCAAAGTATTCATTTGCCATTAGCTTCATTCTGTTGCTAAATTTCTGCCTTTCCTCACCCTCGCTCTACCTTGTATAATGGAGACTAATGGGTTGAAGGCGGTGAGCATTTCTGGTACTGTTGCTATTGGACAAGAAAAAAGGGAAAACTTTTACAAAAGCCCGTATTTCGCGACTGTAACAATTGCTTTTTAGCTCCTTACATTATTATAAACTAATTGCTACATGTGATTCTTAAGCATGTATCCATAAACTGTTTTGTGCTACCAGACACTTGCAAGTTTTTTTCTAGGGATCTGCCCACAATTGGTGGTTGGTTTTGGACAATATATTTCATAAAATTAGGTCAATTTGAATCTATAATGCAGTTGGTAAAGCCGTGCTTTTTTAGTACATGCCTGTATTTTTCTTTTGCTGCATAACAGAAGCTTACTTTGAAAAAAATAACTAAAGGGGTTTCATCGGTTATCAGTAGATTACAATTATGTTGGTGGGTTATATCTTCATGTTAATATGCCTGGATGTTTGCATTGTTTGCCGCCTGACTCTTAACTGTTGTCTTCCAGCTAATCGAGCCGTTGAAGTAAATGAGATGTGGCGGGCACGTCAGAAGGAGAAAGAAATGGATGACAGGGTTAAGAAATCCGAGAAACGAGATAGAAGTAATGGAGTTAGAGATTCCCAAAAGGATGTAAGGTTTGAGGATTATGAAAGGAACCGGACTTCTATCTGCTCTTCAAGCAAAAGCACAAGTGAAGATGGACTAAGGGACAAAGAAATCGAGGAATTCTTGCACTCAAGGTACTCTCTTTCAATTGATGTTGTGAGTGCTTGCAGGCAGGCAGGTGCATGAGAAGGGCTATTTAGGAGAATAACCTTTCGACATTTTTTTTCTTCCTAAATGCATGTCCTTCTGACATATTTAAAAACGTCTCTGCCTAACAGAAGAATGCTTCTTTTTAAATAACCCTCCATGAGAGTGCTTGTGTATGCGCATATTTTGACATGGGTTGTTTTGCTTTTCAGATAAGCTATACGAGTCTCACTTGTTTGCTGATGGCAGGGCCAAGCGTGGTAGGGGTGCAGTTGGGTCCAGGATGGATGAGACAGGTCCATACCTCCCTGATTCCAAAGGAAAGAGCGCGGATGACATAGGATATAGAGAAAGCTGGGATAATCGAGCTATTTTAGGTCCAGAAAAGCCTCCTAATCTGAAGTCAAACTCATATTCGGATGAAGAAAGAGAGAGAAGGGGTAGCAGAAAGCATAAATCAAAAGAGAAGTCTAAAGATAAGAAAAAGAAAAGGGAGAAGAAAAGAAGTAAACATCACAAGTAAGATTATCTTATCTGTAATCTGTACAGTCATGATAGTAGTTGATATTTTGGACCTCAGCCACTGTGTCAAGAGAACCAGTATGCATTTTGAAATGCCAACATATATCTGATACAAATACCCATCTGTACTTGCTCATTGAAATGGCTTTGATTAGGGCTCTCTTGTACCCAAATTTATGCTTGCTTTTGGCTATCCACAGATCTTTGTTTCATGGAGCTTCATTGTTTGTATTCTAGATTTTCTGCAATGTCTTTGTGATCCATATTTCCCCATTTCTGAGAAGTTTAGGGTTCATACTTTTCCATATGATGTTTTGTGTGAATTCTCTTATCTTTTGGATGATATCCAGTGTCTTTTGGGAGTCTAACTCTCGATTGATTCTGTCTCTGTTTTTATTTGGAGTATCTCGTTTCTGGTTCAGGACCAGTTTTGTAATTCTCACCAAACTATGGAACCAAATCCGTAATTTTCTCTATATAGTCTTGAAAAAAAAATCCATTACATAATCACAAGAGTGGTGTCTGATTGGTTTGAGCTTGGCTTCAAAGGTCAAAAGTACCAGGAGGTTCCAGATTCAAATCCAAGGAGGAGTAAAAATCCCCTTGTGGCCACAGAAGTTCAAATGCGGTGACTCTGGGCTATCTGCAAAGCAGCTGGTCGTCTTGGGATTAGTCGGCTCGGATAGCGAGTTGGATATTCAGGTTAAAGAAAAATCGATTACATGCTTTTTCATAAAACCACCTACAAATGGTTATTATACAATACAAGGTTTTAAGATTTGGTCACATATAATTCAATTTAAAAGAAATTAATGTAGCATGACATATTACCCCGGTATGGATCACGAATCTAATTATTCATCCATCTAAATAAATCGATTTATTAAATAATTTTTGATTTGTTATTTTATATAAATGGATGGGATTAATTGAAATGAGGCTCTTGTAATTCAAGTATTTTTGCATCAAACCGTTATTTGATTTTGACCCTAACCTTCATTTCGTATATTGGATGGATCCAACGTCTAAGTTGTATAAATTTAGGGGCTAGTTACCCAAATACTTACCTATATGAGTCAACACTATAATTTATTTTGATGAGTAAGATTTTAGTACATCAAAACATATTGAATGCAATAATTTACCGGGTAAGCGCTTACCTGGGTAAGACTCTCTATCTTTCTCATCGCTCTTACCCGGTAAGATTCTTGGCCCTTGTCATGTTCATCCGATAAAGAAATTTATTTGGTAAGCACTTACCAAGTAAGCGTTTAATAAACGGCCTTTGGTTTATTAAAATCGTAGCAAAACCTGTTTTATTTCACATGAAACTTTAAAATGGTATATAACTAAAATCATTTGTCTCAATTTACCCTTTTAACAAAATCCAACTTTGGTGAACCATTGATGAAGCAAACATAGATTCATTGAAATGAATGGATCTAATATTTGATCCATTTCCTCCCATTTGCCAACCCTAACTATATTGGATATGATGCCAAATTTATATATATATATATATATATATATATATATATATAATATATAACATTATCATTTTTCAAATTTATTTTGTTGCCTCCAAAAATTGATTAAACATCTAGGATAAAAATGCAAGACATAATTATAATACAAGTGTCGGTTTTGCTTAATTTAAATGGTATTGAAAAGAAACCTCTATACTGTTTTGAGCTTAGGAAAGGTCTACGTACATGTATAACACCAGTAATTACTAGGAAAATGGCCGTTTTCGGCCAGAAAAACGGTCGGAGAACGACATGAAACACGACATGGCACGGTGCGGCCTGGGGACTTGACCCGCGACTGTTTGTGGGATTGTAGACGAGGGCAACATGCACATCGATTTAGGTCACATGGGAGGTCTGCAACGCATAAAATCTGAATTTTTGTGTTTTTTCTTCATTTGGCTTTAGCTCCTTCATTTCTTCTTCGATTTTAGAGTGAGTTTGGTTGGGAACCTAGATTTAACATGAATCTAGCAAACGTGAGTTCTAGTTGCTTTGAAAAACTATATACATGTCGAAAGGATCTTATTTTGAAGATTGAACACATTTCCATGAGTTCATTACAAAAAATATCCGTATATGATGATTATCTAGGTATTGAGTGTTATTGGGAGATGAAAACCTTTAGGAAATAAGTTTAAATGAACTCTTAGTTATTTTGTTTGGATTTCATACCATTTGGTGTGGGTTGAACTCCAAGATTGTAGTATGTATTGCAGAGAGGAACTCGTATGGGTTGGACTTTAGGATCATGGTTATTGTGGTGATGATCTCTTGTTGAATGGGACTCTGGGATCCTAGGTATTACGATGATGAATCGTGAGGAGTCGGACACCGAGACTTGTGTTTTAAGATTTGGCCTAGTATAGTTGACTCTTAGTTATCGAGAGTATTTTGGTGATGAACTGTTGTGGAGTTGGGTATCAGGACCGTTGGCTTATAAATGCAACTCTATAGTGTGTAAGTGTTAAGATTAGGTATGGGAATGGGGCCCAACACGTTAGAGAACCCGGTCCACCCGCCCCAATTGGGGACGGGGATTCCCCGCTAAATCGGGGATGGGGACGGTCATGGTACTCCCTCCCCCCGGTACCCGTAACCGTTATATATATTAATTAATAAAATATTATATATATATATATATTATTTATTTCAACTAAAGTGGTAGTTCATAATTTCTTATTTCCTAACTAGGCTTATAATCTAAAATTGTTATTTTTTGTATGTTAATATGTAATATTTTAGATGTTAATATGTAATATTTTAGATGTCAAGTCAAAATACAATTACTCGATAAGTTTTATATATTACTCGATATGGTTTTATATTACTCAATATCTTTTGGTACACATGACTTTAAGTTTTTTTTTTTTGGATTTAGTTGAATTTTTTGTTTGTTTTAGGTTATTAGTTCTTATATGATGTTGTGGCTTTTTTTGTATCAAATTAAACTCATTTTGGTTTTAGGTTTATTGAAAATGTTTGAGATTTAAACATGTATGGTTTATCAAATATTTAATTTAAAATAACTTATATAAATGGAAAAAAAATCCTCGATTCCCCGTTAGGGATGAGGATGAGGATGTGATTATATTCCCCGGCGGGGATGGGGATGAGGATGTGATTATATTCCCCGGTGGGGATGGGGATGGGTATGGGGATGGAGATAGAGATAAGTAGTCGGGGACGGGGACGGGGACGGGGATTGAGGTCCCCGCCCCATTCCCATGCCTAGTTAAGATCGGGGGTACTGCGTAGATGAACTTGTGTAGGTCAAGGATCTTAGGTATTGGGGTGGAAATTAGACACCAGGATTGTAATCTTAAGGCGCTACTTGATAACGTTGACACATGTCTTATTTTGTGTTTTGCCATAGTCGATGGAGATGGATATCCCCTGCCAACAAGAGGTGTTGCTACGGGTATCGAGTCTATCCATGCTTTGGGTGATTTAGGGTCTGATGTATTATCTTATTTTCGGGTTTTGTGGTTCACTCATTTTGAAGAGTGAGTTTGGATGTCAGTTTTGATTTAAGGCATTTTGGAATTCATTTTAGAAACGGTGTTTTTATGAAAAATATTCCTTTTGATTTTTTAAAAATGCTATTCTAAATACGGAATAATTAATTAAAGATGACTCTTTTGGTTTTACTGTTTTATGTTTATGAAATAAACTGTTTTAACTCGCTCAACGTTTAGCTTTAACATTGTCTCATATCGACATGTATATTAGGTCTTAATGGGATCAAAGTGGCATATGGAGCTTTGTAGAAGTTCCGATAGGACGGCTTTAGAGGCGTCATCCGATTTTAAGATAGCATTTTTGGTGTAGTACTAACCGACTTGTTCTAATTCTGTTTTGGGAATTAGACAGTCTCCTCTAATACATTTCATGTTCTCTTTTTCTGGGTGAACTTTGCACATTTTTGTATTAACCGACTTGTTCTAATTCAGAATTTTTGAAGTACTATTAACATTTATATATGCAAACACTCACAAACCACAAAGCGAAACTAAGGTTTGATCCCTTGACCACCTGTGAGGCATCATTAGTGGTGGTGAAGATACCACTTGTCCGATGACCTTTTGGTTTGGGCATACATAGTGAATTTGTAGGTACTAAACAAGAAAACACCAATCGGGAAGAAACTTGGTAACTAGAATGCGTTCCCCATAGACATAAAACCTACTCTTTCTGTACATACACAGATCTATACCATAACGTTTGAAGATTACATACGGAAGGAAACTTTGATTTTGCTACCATTCTCGAAGAACACAACAATTTGAAGTTAATTTGGCCGGAATGAAACTAGGAAATTTAAACGTCTAGATATATGTTCCAACTAACCACTGTTATGAGTCCTCAAAGTGGTGATCCGTTTCATCGAATATCTCCTCCTACACGGAATCAAATGAACATTGTCAATGCAGGTTGCAGCGGTTTCATATACAAATTATCCTATTCATTCTAAAATAAATGTTTCCTATTTTAGTTTCTCCCAAAATAAGTATCTACTTTTAAAAGTAAGTGTCAACTTTTCATATCCTTAATTATAAGATGGAAAAATTCATTACTCCATCTACCCTTAAGGGTAAAATTTCAATAATTACATATTTTTAGAACTGTGTGCCTTTTTTTCATCATTGAGATTTATTTTGGGACGAATAAGTACAATATAAAGACAATTAAGTTGTGTTTTAAGAGTTTTTACCTGCAGTAGTTCTTCGATCACATCTTCCATTGTTATTATGCCAACTGCTTCTTCTTCTTCAGGAAGTTTGGGAAGAGGTTTTCCCTCTATCTCTAAAATGTCTGAATACATGTCTTTATTCCATTTTTTACTCCTAAAGCTACCTTTGTAAGAATTGTTCCGATCGTTGGGGGAACTTTTCCATTTGTGGAACGATCTTTTTGACTTTAAGCTATTCTCTCGAGAATCCTTACCATCACCATCAACATCTACTCGTACTTCCTTCATCACATCTATATTTTTAGGATTAATACAACATTTCCTAGGCTGAATGTCATTTTGGCCATTTACCATTTTCATTTTATGCCTCCTATTTAGATTACTCTCCAAAAAGAAAGCCCTTGAGAACAGAAGGGAGGTTCCAAAATCCAACATGTATAGAGAAGAAATGGTCCAGGTTTAGTTTATGTAGGACTCCAACATGCCCCCTCCAACTGAGGATAGACAGATACAGATTGTCCCCGATTCTCGAGTTGGTACACCTTGACTTCGATACCATGTGAAAATATGTGGAATCTAGATTACTCTCCAAAAAGGAGGAGGGAGATTCCAACATATATAGAAGAGAAATGGTCCAAGTCTATCCAATATTGTGGTACTCAACAGAGAGTCTAATAGGAAATAGCCTCTTTGTCTCTTAAGACAGAGGTAAGCTCTGCTTACATCTACCACCGGACCATACCTTCAGGTGGGATATACGATGTTTTATATGGTACGAAGGGAGATCATGTGTGATTGCAGGTACTATTTTCTTCCTTTTCTGTATTTGTTGGTTGCATTTTCATTTCCTGATACCAAACAAATGGTACTCGCAATCACATGCGCATCTCTCCTTATACCGTATAAATGGATTCAGAAAATGGAGGTTGTTAGTGGCCAAAAAGTTTGAGCAGCATGGAGGACTTACCAGACATCGGACTCTTGGTGGCGGTCTTATTACACTGTCTCACCACAACAGCCATGTGGCTGTGACCTTTCTGAAACTCGTTCAAAATGTCATACAATGGAAGAGTTTCTGGAACCCTAAAAGTAAATGACTTGAATTAGTATGGCGATATCCTGTAATAAGTTTATATATGGATCTTGTAGAACAAATACAACATACTTGGGAATTCTACGAATTGTGACGCTTTTTACAAGCATTTCATCTTCAGGGTGGATGGTCAACAAATTTTTCACCTAAAATATCATAACCAGAAAAGTCGATATTGTTATTTACCCGCCATAAAAAGGGAACAATTAATTCCAGACTTGGAAAAATCAAAACAAAGCAGTTACGTCTACACAAAAATACCAATTAACTTCCATATTTAAGACTCAAGGATTGAACAGCTCACTGTCTCAAGATTCCATGTACCATCCATGTCCACCAATCAATTCTCGACACATCACTACTTCATTGAAGAGAGAGAATAAAAAGATAAATAAAGTAAAAAATGTGTCCGAGAGGTGGAACATGGCCGGAATATGGAATTTTGAGATAGGTGATTTGTATTTGTAAGCCGTCTAAATTTTCATGTGTATGGCCGAACCAGGAACTTAGGTGATCGAGGGCACACTTAGGGGTATCAAAAAAAACCCTAAGTCGAATAACCCATCCGAACTGAATTAGGTTTGGGTTAAACGGTTTCTGTTATTCGAGAATCTTCACTAAGATACCATAAACATCAGTGAAGAATGCATCATTTGTCAAAATTAACAAACATTCCAAAAGAAATGACATTCTTAAATGTCGAAATCATACAAAAAACACAAACGGCCGAAAATTATGACACAGACGCAGTGAGTAGGTTCCCGAAAGAAGTGGGGGTAACAACAAGAGACAATTAGGATAAATACGAGAATTGGAGTTCAAATAATATAAATCGAACTTTTTTTGACTTTTGTGCACCCTACCCCAGTAGCTTGCATCCACCCGAGTATTGTATTAGTATATTGTTTGTATCACAGGGTATTTATAGGTTACCAGGACAAGTCCAATAATGTTTGTAGGTTCCTCGTAATAGACTGGCACTCTGCTATGCCCTCTTTCCAGGATTATATTGATTAAGTTCCTGTAATACAATAATACACAGAATGCATAGTTATAAAGGGCTCTGGAGATAGAGAGGTTAAGTTTTAATGGAAATTGCTGAAAGCATTTGACACCTGTCAAGTTTGGCGTTAATATCAACTGAGAAAGTGTCGGATATAGGAGTCATAGCATCACTGGCTGTTTTTGCCGTGAGTTCAAGTGCTCCTGCAATTATTGTTGTCTCATCGTGTGTTAGTTCTCCACCTTTTCCAGCCTGTTTATAAGATCACAAAATAAACATGAAACTGGCACAGTGAAAAACAAGGAGAAACTGCAATTGGTAAATGAAACTAGGGACATGGACTTCCAACAGGACAGACAGACAAACAGTAAAAACAATTAAGATTAAAAGAACCTGCCATTTCAGATATTTATCGGTTTACAAAAACAAACGGTCTTTTTGATTTTTTACTTTCAGACTTCAACACCACCTATTGTTACCTCTTATCAGTAAAATAAGACTTCAGAGTGTTCAGAACCTTTTAGAAACAATACCCAAGGGATTCTCCAGGAAAACATCTGAAATACTTAGAGGACACATACCTCATTACCATGCATATTGACAAGTGTCTTTAACTCAGCTCTACGAAAAAGAGCAACATGTTCATGGCCCAGCAGATAGTCAAGCAGCTGATGGATTGAGCAAATATAGTCAACATTACAAGTTGCAATGGAATGCATCATCTAAAGTAGCAGATTATGCAAGTCGGATACATGGGGAACAGACATATCACCTTGCTTATCGGATAAGCAACAGGAAAACAGACCCAAACAAGAACGCGAACAAATGGAGACACATACGCCCCAATAGCCAGTCCATACCTGGTACAGACAGATTGAGGTATGATCTGTGGATGGAAATAAGTAGTAGTTAGTGCATGCTAATAATCAAGGCACCAAGTCGCCTTCTGCCCAGTGGTAATAAAACCAACCTCAGAGAACCCTTAGCTACAAGTCTCATAAGAGACATAGATATTACTCTTCACCAACCAAAAGGAAAGAAAATGGCGACTCCCAATTTTCGTTGTTTCAAAGATCAACTCCTGTGTGAAAGCAGAAAAGATCCCTATTTTTCTATTCTGTAAGTTACGCGTTTCTCCTTTTGTTGTGCAGCCAAATGGCCTTGAGAAGGGGCAGATTGTGATAAATGGAAGTGGTTTAAAGGCAATACCCCTTTGAACTCGTATGTAAAAGACTAAATTGCCCTCATAAGAGGGGCACATGGGGTGACTAACAAGCTCAATTAGACGGCGTTAAATCAAGGGACCAAAGTGTTATGAAAAGTAAAAGTTAGGGACCACTAGTATAATAATGTGCTTGAGGGACTCGATCCAAAATTTGGGTATAGCACAGGGACCAAGAATGTAATTAACTCATAAAAAAGGACAGCCATCTAAGCACATGGGAACTACATAACTTAGTAGGTCCAAATTGAGAAATTGCCCTTATGAGCCTGCTTAGTGGGTACGCGTACAAGCTTTCCACAATCGCTTAATCGAATACGAACTTAATAGTTCAGCCTGATTATTGAAGTAGCGTATAGATTATTACTCACCTCACCAAACAGAAGGATCAATGTCACTGAGATGAGAATGGCACCCCAAGCTGTCACCAGCCTATCCAGGAAAATAGGAAGTGCCTGAGGAAGACGATAACCAATTCAAAATTGAAATGCTATGAATGTGAACAACTTAATAAATATATAATATGTTCGATATACCTCCATTGCAGCAGCATTGCAAATAAGAAGAGTGCAAAGCAGTAAATGCTGTTTCTTGACCACGGGTAATATCTTCTCTGTAGATACAAAAGAGTGATCAGTAATATCATATGAATCACCCAATAGAAAACCAAACATAAAGATCAGACAGAGCCTGAGCAGAACTAGCAAAAAGCTAAGAAGTTTCGGCATGTTGTGATTTTGAGCAATAATAGCATTCCAGAGTTGTTAAAAAGTTTCATAACAATTGCATCCAATTGCAAGCTTACATTATTTCATTCCTTTGCCACTAATGACTCCTCATCATGCTTCAATGTTTCAAGTAAATGCACATGGATAAGCAAAAACAGTAGCCAAGAAATGTGATATGGAAATTGTAGTTCTTGCATGATAATGTTTATACCAAAATACTGCAACTTACTGCAATTGACTCATGGACACAAACTCTTTGCACAATGCAAGGACTTCTCTGTCCTAACTCTAGCAAAGCCAAAAGAGCTTTGGCACTCGGGTAGCCACTTTTACACCAAAAGTAGTAGATTCGGCTTTCCAGATTTGATTAGAACTACATCAAGGGTAAGTTAACTACACTATCTGGAACCGTAGCAGTAAACAGACTGGAAACCGAAAGAACAGGAGTAATGCTTAACCAGGACAGCTGGGGACTTTCTTTATATTTTTTCCCCTTCCTTGAAACAGTCAAAAATATCATTCACCTGCATAAAAAGCGGCCAAAGCACTGAGAACAATTTACGCCTAACAAAAGCAGGTAGGCCAGAAATGAACCAAGAGAAGACTGGGAAGCCAGCATCTGACTAGAACTATCTGGAACAACAACCAAACTGTTTTGCTTGTATTGATGTAATATGGACGAGGTTATGTGAAACTCACAGATAAGTCTCACACCTGCATTAACCCTTTCATCCCATACAGACAAGACTAACAACTACCAGACCAGATAATGTCACATGAGAACTTGTAATTTTCCTGTGCTTTTGGTACTCAACATATAACCACCACTTACTCGTGTAGCTTCCACCACACAACTTAATGATGCACAACAAATTGGTTAGGTTCCTTATAGACATCATCTGGTTAGTTGGGATATTGAAAAGGATATTTGAACTATTTATTTCCATGGCACCCTTCGCCTGTATGTAAAAACCATCAAGACAATGACTGCAGCATAACACAAAATTCTTCTAGTACTTGAACAGTCATCTGAGTCATTGTCAGTCAACTCACTTCTGAAAGTATCTTGTTTTGGAACGAGTTTAGCAGGAAATTCACATTCTAAATATGAATTACGACTTCAATGAAGAAGAAACCGTGTTGACGAAGTTCAAGTGAAACAATAAAAAGAGAAACAAACTGAAAAGATGAAAAAGTTTCTCAGACAAAGCTAAAACATTTGATCTTCTTACTATATTCTACTCCGACCAGCAAAGTTATGCCCGACCATTTTGAACTGGCTGAAAAATTCCTTCAGATTTTTTTCTCATTTTCGAGCATATCATTCCTAGCTTAACAAGGACAACTTGAACAAAAATCTTTTGAGACTTTAAAAGAAGGGTATCAGATACTGATAGGAAACTAAATGGAACAAAAGTTCATCTATTTGGACCAAGGACATCTATCTTATTCTAGTGACGCTCTATAGTTCATCTGATTTACTATTCACAATGCAACTTATAGTAGCAGTGATTAAAAAAATGCATCTAGTTGGACCAATGACACCTATCTTATGCTGTTATGCAGTGTCACTCTTATCATCTATGTCTCATCTAATTTACTATCTATAATGTGAGATTGAAAAGGAACCATCATAAGCTGTTCATTACATTCTACAGAAGGTTCAAAGCTTGCAACTTCAAACAAAACAAATCAAATCCTTATGCATTTTGAATCATCTAAACCAATAAAATAAAAGAATCATCTTCTCTGCATCTCATCCATATCTGTATGTATGATCTAGATCCTCTGTTCTTTTTTAATCCTCTTACGAATTTGACAGTTGAGAAAGGAACAAATTCTGTTGTGTCCCACATCAGAATATCATTAAAATTTTCTTCAGTATATTGCATCTTCAAATGCAATTTTGTTAATAATTCGCACCAATAGCATGGGATTCTTACTATTTGTTTTCTGGTTATTTAATAAACATTCCGGAGAAAATAATAATTTTAAAATTTTCCATTTTGAAATTGAAAAGTGAGTAAATGTTATAATGAACTCAGGGAATGAGATTACAAAGAGGGATCGCAACAAAAACATCCATTAATTTTCATGCATAATAGCGATGAGCATTCGACCATTAATTTTCAGGCATCCATCATCTTCTGTAATGAGTATGAGAGCTCAAAATTACAAAAGGACGTCACTATGATTTCCATAATCATCAGAAAATAAGAACTCTTGCAAAAATTTGGAACGCCGAGTACATAAAGACAAAAGAAAATGAACCAATACAGACATCAAATCAACGTAATTAATAATACGAAAAACAGATCATTAATGATATACCTGCGTATGTACGATCTTTTGGAGTGCCAGATTTCGCAAGAACTTCAAGATCAACAAGACTCAGAGACATAAGCCCCAACGTAAGCCCGGACATCAAACCAGCGAAGAGAACCAAAAGCACTATTATCACTATATGCAAGAAGAACTGCGATTCACAACACTCATACTCCACCGCCATTTAATAGATTTTCTTCCTCTTTCTATATTCAACTATTAATCTATAATTACCAACAACCCTACTTCTCTGACTGCTACTTGACGACAAATTAACCAAACGTGGAGCAACCTTTTTCCTTTTCTGCTACAAGATCACAGCTCTAAACTTCGATTCTCACCTCTTCCAAAATTGAGTAGAATAATAACTGTGAAATTTGGTGAAGGAAAGCTTGATGTTGATGTTGATGTTGATGTTGATGTTGATGTTGATGATGTATAATGAGAGCTAAAAACCGACACTGTTTTGCTGTGTAAAGAGAGAAAGAGAGAGTGAAAAGGAGCGAATTCTGGAGAATGAAGAGAAAATGGCGTGGGATATTGGGAAATTCGGGCAGGACGGGCAACTGCGGTGAATGATATATAAGCGTTACAGGCTCAACGGCGACACGCCTTCACCGTTACGTGTCACTTCCCTCCACAACTTCCATGCTTTCCTTCCTTTTTTTTATCATCAATTTTCCTTGTATAAAAATACGATTATTTTATTTTATTTTCAAAATATAATATTTAAAAAATTATCGAACAATTGATTTTCAAGGGGTGTTTGGGATTGTTTATTTGAAACAACTTATATTTTTTTATAAAAACATTTATTAACTTATTATAAATCAGAAAGATTTAACTTCTTCAAAAACTTCTTATTACCAATTTGGCACCGGTATAAGTTGTTTAACCAAACACTCAAAAGTGCTTATTACCGGTGCCACAACGGAATAAGTCAATAAATTATTTTTATAAGCAATTCCAAACACCTCCTTAGTTATGCTTGTACCAAAAAAGAAAAAAAAGTTATATTGGTATTAGAAATGTATAAAAATGTCCAACCTCAAAGTTTGGTTTGAACCCGGATTGAAAAAGCCAAAGCATATAGCATAATAAGTCTGATCGGGCCGAAATTGTGGGTTGTTCGGGATTTGAAATAATCTAAAAGGTCTGGTCTTAAAAAGCTCCTGTTTAAATCTGAAAAAGCCAATTGAAACTCTTTCAACCTAAAATCCAACTCGGTTCAATTCGAGTTTTAGAAAATTTGTATTTTTTAATGCTTATCAAAAATGGGTTTGAAAATCTTAAGTTTTTTAGACATTTTGTATATCGTTATAACACATTTTTTTTTCAAAGTTGGTATCTAAATGTAACTCTCCTAATCAATGATACCATTACCATATTCTATAAATTGACATATATTTTTTTTGTGATGTGATATAATTATATTATATATATATATATATATATATATATATCTTTATCTATTTTAAATTAAATTATATATTGAAAATTATAGTTCTGTTCATGTGAGAATAAAAGTTATGATGAGAATAAATATAAAAAATCTCAACTCTTATATCAATTCTAATTGAAGATGGACATTAATTACGGTGCATCTTGAATTCATGTGATAAGTACAATTTATGAGGTGGATGTAGATTAAAAATGATCAAGGGTTTAAATCTTTTTTTATTTTTCTCAGATTAACTTTTATTTTCATACGATGCATGTAAATTAAAAGATTGATTTTGAAGAAAAATACTGATAATAATAATTAAAATACAATAAAAAATAAATATCTAAGATTATAATTAAAGTGAAACAATAAAATTAACATAATTAATTAACCAATACTTATTTAATTAATCTTTAACCAATGGGATTATTTTCATGCAACACCTGGAAATAATTCCTACTCCAATTTTTTTTATAGGAGTCTTGGGGTGTAATGGCTTCTTTATCTATATCTATACTATATTATAAAGTATTTGACAAAAAAATTTAAAAACTATTTTTTATGTATGAAATACTGTATATTGATGCATATTACTTAAAATTCAAGATTACAAGTAATTATGCATTAAGTACAACTTATGAAAACTCTATTTTTGAATTCGTATAATTAGCTGCAGATAAACATAATCAAATATATGATAAACATCTCATTTTAAATATAAAAAATCTAAAATATAATTAGAATAATCATTAAATTCTAACAGAATCATTATCTTTATAAAACTTTATTGTTAAGCCAAAAATAAATTATTTCACTAAATCGTAAAAACATTATCTTTCTCAAAACCATATAAATCATATTATATCAATGGAGATAAAAAATAAAACGAAATATCAAAATGAAAATATATCTCACTATATTATGCAATTATTATTTTAGTTTTATATAAAAGAGTTTAAGTTGGTATTGACTTTAGTCATTGAAGCATGTTTTTAATATATAAGTTACATTAAATATAGAAACCCAAATTTTGCTTTTGCAAAATGAAATTTAATGTGAAAAGAAGATAAAGAAAAGTTAAGTTTTCATTTATTCTCAAGTTGAAGGTGAGATCACTTTTCTCATATAAAAATATTCCATTAATGGTATTAGATTCTTATCGATTATTTTAGTACTAGTTTCTACTTTTTAAAAGTAATTTGTAGTTTTATCGTATTATGATTAGGCGTGTTCAAAAATTCGACCAATCCGATCAACCTAACTCAACCCAACGTGAAATAATCCAACCCGAAGTAACCCGATGTCTAATCGAGTTGTAAAATTGTCAAACCATAGGTATTGGGTTGATATTGGGTTATTATTTGAACTCAACCTAACCCGATGAACCCGGTATCCTTTTATTTCTTGGATTTAATATGATTGTTGAATTTCTATTGATATATACATTAGACAATTACACTATCATGTATGCTTTTCATATCACATATTTTCAATATATTCATATCTCTATATATAACTCATTCATATATATGTTCAGTAACTGTGAACATATATATGTAAATTGAGAAAATTAACTGAATGTGATATACGTAAGAAATATGGATAAGTTATATCAAATGGTTGATAATGAAAAAGAAATTATGAGTAAAGAAATAACATATTCAAGGTTAGAAGAATACTTTAATATACCAAAGTATCAACCCGACCAACCCGTACGGGTTGGGTTGGGTTGCACTTTGGTTTGGGTTGGGTTGGGTTAAGATTTTTCCAAACCGCAAGCATTGGGTTGGATTGTTCAAATATCTTCAACCCGATCAACCCAACCCATGAGCACCCCTAACTATGATAACTACATCGTTTGCACTGATGTCTATATAAGTTATATAAACAACTGTTTTTGTAAAAGAAGTTTGAATTTTTGGAAAAGAAGTTTCTTTCAAATGAAGCTAGTGGGAGGCAAATTGATCTTGAAATTTTTTTAAGAACCACTTGATATATCACAAGAGGTTGACACTAGCAATCAACTAGAGGTTGATGAACCTGAGCAAGTAGTTACTCGGGTACCTGATGAAACACAAAGCATTCGCAGATCTAGTAGAATTCCTAATGCACCCAAGAGTACGGATTTCTCGTGTCTTCTGATGAAGTATAATTAGTGGATCAAGATGAGTCCATTAGCTATAAAGATGATGCATCAGGTCATCAATCTGATAAATGGCTTGAAGTCATGAATGTAGAGATGCAGTTCATGTATGAAAATCAAGTATGGGACTTGGTTGATCTTCCTTCCAACAACAAGACTGTTGGAAGCAAATGGATCTTCAAAAAAAAGACCGACATGGATGATAATGTACATATTTTTAAAGGGCGGCTAGTAACGAAAGGTTTTACACAAACTCATGGTATTGACTATGATGAAGCATTCTCTTTGGCGGCCATGCTTAAATCTATTAGAATATTGATTGCCATAGTAACATATTATGACTATGAGATATGGAAAATGTATGTCAAAACGGCTTTCCTCAATGGACATTTAAGTGAAGATGTCTACATGATGCAGCCTGAAGGTTTTGTTAACACTAAGTATCTTAATAGAGTATGCAAGCTTAAAAGATCCATTTATGGATTAAAAAATGCATCTCGAAGCTGGAACCTTCGTTTTGATGAGAAAAATCAAAGAATTTGGTTTTATTAAAAAATGAAGATGAGCCATGTGTTTACAAGAAAGCTAGTGGGAGTGCAGTAGCATTTTTGGTCTTTTATGTAGATGGCATACTTCTCATTGGAATTGATGTCCAACTTTGCAAGACGTAAAGTCTTGGCTTGGGAAATGTTTTTCAATGAAAGACCTTGGAAATGCTACTTACATCTTAGGGATAAAGATCTATAGAGATAGATCTAAGTGGCTTATTGGCTTGAACCAAAGTGCATATATAGATAAAGTCTTGAAAAGGTTCAAGATGCAAGACTCCAAGCGTGGTTTCTTGCTAATGTCACATGGCGCAGTTTTGAGCAAGTCTCAATGCCCTGTCCCAAAATCTGATATAGATTGCATGAATGGAGTTCCATATGCTTCTGCAATTGGATCCATTATGTACGCCATGTTGTGCACTAGGCCTGATGTCTTGTATGCTTTGAGCATGACGAGTAGGTACCAACAAAATCCAGGCAAAGGACATTGGATAGCAGTCAGAGCATTCTAAAGTACTTACGAAGAACTAAAGATATGTTTTTTGATCTATAAAGGATTGGAAAAAGATTTTGATGTAAAGTGTTACACAGATGCTAGTTTCCAAACTGACCGAGATGATTCTGGATTACAATCCAGCTATGCATTCATTATGAACGGTGGAGCGATAACTTGGAAAAGTTCCAAATAGAAGGTAGTTGCACAATCTACTACAGAAGCTGAATACATTGCTGCCTCGAAAGCATCACAAGAAGTTGATTGGATGAAGAAGTTCATTGTTGATCTAGGAGTGGTTCCAAGCATTGAGGACTCCATAGAGATCTTTTGTGATAATGCAGGTGCCATTGCACAAGCAAAAGAACCTAGATCGCATCACAACCAAGCATATCCTCAGGAGATTCCACTACATTCATGAAATTGTAGAAAAAGAAGATGTGTATATTCTCAAAGTTCACACAGATCAGAATAGAGCTGATCCATTCACGAAGCCTTTACATTAGTCTAAGCATGATGGACATGCTAGATCTATTGGGCTTCGGCTTGCAAGTGAGTGGATATAATATTGTATTTTAGTACTTGAATATTTTGGAATGTGTAAGTAACACTTGATTATTTTAATATGATAGGTGCAAACATAGTTATGATTAATTAACAATTGTTGTGTTCTATATTAGCATGTTTAAAATCCATGAATAAATCATTTATTCAAAGCAATCCATAGTCGGTTGTAATTATGGGAATACTTATGAATTAAGACTAATGGGAATTAGTTGGTTGACCTTCATAGATGATGAAAG